TTTTTTTTTTTTTTTTTTTTACAATGGGGTCACGTCTACGAGGAAAGTCCTATAAAACTTGTAAAACACAAACATTTCCACTTGGAGACAACAGGAATTTGTCATTTCCCCCCCCCCTCTAATTCCTTGTAATTTTCTTCTTTTTGACTTCTGACAACAATATATAAATAAATGGCTTTACAGCAATTGCAGATATACAAAAAGAGTCAGATCTCAGTCCACAAAGGGTGCTTTCAGTTAGTGTGGATAAATTGTCTGTGCATACATTCAAAAACAGACTTAAAACCTTTTTATTAACACTTTCCTACACTTAATAGGTGCTATATAAATACAATTTTCATTGTCATTATGAGATGAAAAAGATAATATAGGATATAATAAAATAATGTAGTAAGATTATGGAGTTAAATCACTGAATTTACTAATTCATTGGTAATCTACTGCAATCTGAAGGGTTTAACACAAAATATATTATACCTCATGCAAAGTCTTTACCATGAAAAAATAAAACCTTTGAATCACTGGATGAATATTTTTTCTAAATTCAACATCTTTGGATTTCTTTTTCTCAAACTTGTCAACTTACAGAACCTGCTGATGAATTTTAACACTGATGAACTGCTGCACTCAAACATCAGTACCCTCAAACAGTCAGCAGGGGGACACCGCCGCAGGCTCTCACACAGTAGATGAAGTGTAATGCCGCTGCTGTGTTTTACTCACTCAGGATGTTCGCAGTGTTTTCAGTGGTGATCTCTATATCGGGCTCGGTGAAATACTCTGACGCAACGCATCTCCCATTTTCTGATCCTGTGAGCAACCACAAAAGGTGGAAAATGTTGGGGTTGGTCAAGGATCAAAGTCAGTGGCGCATGAAGAAACACACTAAAATCAAAAGAGCATGTGGGTCTCTGCAGTCCTGCTCACAGGTAACGATCATGTTTTGTGACAGCTATGATTCCAAAGGCCGGAAGGTTGCTATCTGTCTTTTCTCTGATTTCTGCTCTCTCACTCTGCTGCTCTTTCTGTGTGTTTGTCACTGCGTGATGATCAAATAGGAATTCAGTCATTCTTTGCATATATGTATATACATGTGCTGCATCTTCCTACCAGCCACAAAGCAAACTCTCCAGAGGCCTGAATGGAGCGCCATCTTCACCTCCTGGCTCTGGTTCTGCTGTAGGATGATTCCCTCCACCATTATGAGCCAATAGTCCGTGGACACAGCCACCCCGACCAGCAACAACCCGCAGGCGCCGAACACTGTGGACAGGATGGTTAACGCACGGCTGCTACACGTACTCATCTGGAAGGCAGGATGAGAGAGGCACATCAAAACTGCAGACAGAAATATAGGTAGATATGGAAGGGCTCACTAAGGGGAGGTCATTAGAGACGGGAAACTCTGAGACAGACATGTGACACGCTCACATGGGGAAAAAGAGCTACAGGCTATCCTCCTGTCCTGCCTTGTTATTGCTAAAGATGAGTTAGTGACACATTCACTGGCAACCAATCCTGTTTAAGGTTAGAGAGGAGCCAACAAAACGAATGATGACTTCACAAATAAAATTATGGAAGGACTAAAAAAAAAAAGCAGAACAACAGATACACAGATTAGGAAGGAGAGTTGAGGTCTTACGTGACTCACACATGGTCTTTCTGTGACTTAATTCTGGTTGACCGGGAAAGACTTCTCTGAAAACTCAGTGAACATGCTGTCTGTATAGATTTAAGAGTTTCTCTGTCTGTGTAGCCGCTGCTTAATTTGGAACCTTGTTCAGTGTCATCAGCTTAATAAGTAATGGAGGCATGCAAAACACAGAGAAGGCTGATGCTTAGTGTAATTTGTTATACATTATTAGCTATATCGTGAGGTTTATTGCAATAATGAAGATGACTTGTCAGCCTGAGAGTTTGAATAGTTTCCTTTGATTTGTATTCACTGCAGTGTTTGCAAAAGTAGAGGACATCAGGCTGACGTTCCTTTCACTTTTCAAAATCTTATACTAGCCCCCCTTTGCTTTTCCTGCTAAAAATCTCTTTAAATCCAGATGAAGGAAGAGAAGAGAGAACAGCTTTCAGGTACTATGATGCACAACTAACGAGCTTAATGAGCCTAATGAGCAGACGTGAGTGTCTGCCAGACAGTCTTCACCCTGGTTCTTCCCTTACCTTATTAACACAGGTTTTTTGAGCTGCATAGTGTGTGGTGATCACCTGCAGACACTCCCACTAATTAATCACGGTGTTTGCATTTCTTTACACATTTCCCTATGTATGATCATATAATCTTTAAACATTCTTAACTGGTTTCCTTAGAAAAATATGTTTCTCTAGCTTTAGACACCTAATTAGGTCCAACTGTCAACATTTGAAATCACTTAGATGCTGGAGATGTATCTGGAATGACTTGCATTTATCAGCAGCTGCACACTTTTTTAGTTTGTGGCTTTCACATTCTTGCAGTGTGTGCAGCAATTAAGGTGAAATAAAACCTGACAGTGTAATAGAAGCATTAAATAAGCACTGCAATCTGACATAAGCCACTAAAAACTACTCTAGTGTCCTAGTGCTTACTAAGGAAACATCATTTTTCAGGGCTGTGTTCATCAAAACTGTGGGCTAGAGGTAGAATAAGTAATCCATCCATCCATCCTCTTCTGCTTATCCAATTCAGCGTCGTGGGGCTGCCATTGTGGGAGAGGCAGGGTACACCCTGGACAGGTCACAGAAAACCATTCCACCTATTTATAATCACTAATTAACCCAACCCCACTAACTGCATGCTTTTGAACTGTGGAAGGAAGCCGGAGAGAACATGCAAACTCCACACAGAAAGGCCCTTGCCCAGATGGTGGATTTGAACCCAGTACCTTCTTGCTGTGAGGCAACAGTGCTAACCATTGCACTCTAGAATTAAGTAGCCACTTTAAAATATAACCCTTAGCTTGAGACCAGAGTTGATTTTCACCACACCAGGGATGGTTTTTCACCCTTACCATCCATCCATCCATTCACTTCCGCTTATCCTTTTCAGGGTCGTGGGGGGTGCTGGAGCCAATCCCAGCTGTCATAGGGCGAGAGGTGGGGTACACCCTGGCCAGTCTGTCGCAGGGCTAACACACAAGGACAGACAACCATTCACACTCACATTCACTCGCACATTCACACCTAGTGGCAATTTGGATTATCCAATTAACCTATCCGCACACAGAAAGACCCCGGCCTGATGGTGGAATTGAACTCAGGACCTTCTTGCTGTGCAGCAACAGTGCTAACAACCATGCCACCATGCTGCCCCTTTTTCACCCTTACACCATCTAATTTTGGTAAACATGTAGCAACTCATCTGTGTAGGTTCTCAGTCATCCAGGTCATGGTAATCTAAGGAGCTTGGAAAGAAAGCAAAAGAACTTCTTTAAACAACAACTCAAGCTTCAACCTCTTGTTCTTTCAGTAGAGGACGGGAGTGGAATCATCCATGTTCTTCAGCTGATGTAACACGTTGCTTTAAGGTTTGAAAAATGTGCGCTTGAGCCTTTCCTCAGCATATCACTGCTGCTCTGAGCTCTTATTTGAACTCACACTACACTGTTTCACGGTCATTAATAAAAATCTCCACAGTTTCTTGCATCACCCCCTGTAAATCCTGACCCCTTTTTGCTGCACAGAAACTGCAAATCAATTATTCACACCTATTAAACATACGACAATACATCTGCATAAAATAATGACTTAAAAAAGTAACGCTCAGGGTCGCAAATTAATTTAACAGCGTGGGCCATTTATCGTGCACCTCCGACGGCTGTGACAACAGAAACTTTAATGTCAAATAATGACTAAAACATGAGAATCACTTTATTATTCTGCTCTCTCTTTGTATGACAAACCTTTGAGTCTTTGAGAAGTCTGGTTACAAAAAAAAAGTAGTCTACTGGGGAACAAACTCTTAAAGATTAAGCCTGGTCTCGTCTTATCTGGACACCCATTGTGGGAGATGTGACCACTATAGAAGTTCCCTCGGTTTCTATGCAGCAGCGGGGATGAATAGAGTTTCTTTTGTGCGCTAGGCACAATAATGATGTGTAAGAACAGAACTGGGTGATGGTAGAGGGTACACATTAGAGAAATAGTCTGAGAAATGACAAGTTTGGGCATCTGAAAGGCTGAAAGAAGCAGATGAAGTAAGGAGTGCGTTACTAATGGGGCAGACAGAAGTGAGGAACCACAACCGCAAAAAGTCCAGTCAGACAAACACATGAAAGATGTAAAGCCACTGAGATTAAAAGGAAAACTTACAAGATACATAAAGGGCAGGATGCAAATTGGCACTGTCATCTGCCACACAAGGGAACAACTGGATTTGCATGGGCTTAAGCTGCACATGAGCTTCCTGCTGCCCTGGTCTTAACTTTCCTTCTTTAACCGGGGGGTCTAAATCACACGGCAGGCCAATTTCAGCTCCCGCTGCCACAGTAACAGTCGACTGGTGCTGAAAAGTTTAAGTTAAAGAGTTCAAGGCAGGGTCACCGTGAACTCAAAAACAACTCCGTGAAATGACACAGCATGATTGGAGGGATAGACCGATGAGGTATAAAGATAAGATCAGAGGGCACAGAGGAGTGGGCTCACGAAGAAATAATCACACTTCCCAACTTGTTGGAGGAAATGCCAGAGTGGTAAAAAAACGAGTGTGAATCAAAGTGGAGTTGCAAAATTGCACAAACGAGTTGATGTGCCCGAGTTGCTCTCCTAGGCTTGTTCAGCACCACGGACAGCACCCTGTTTTCAGACTTGTTCAGCACCACGGACAGCACCCTGTTTTTGAGCACAAAGTCATAGAAACACACTGAAATCCAAGAACAACAACAAAAACAGGACCTGCTGGCTTGTAAGAGATTGGGATTAAAAATTAAAAGCACTGATTTATTGTGCCAGAAATCTTCTAAAGGGCTGCTGTGGCTTTTGAAGAAATAAGCACTCAGACTTAAGATTGGGTTTGAGTTTGAAAAAAAGAGCAAAGGAGAGAAAAAAAAATCAGTTTCCTGTTAGATTTGTGATAACAATCCCATTTTAGTGCTCTGACACAGCCCCTCAGCTCCTTCATCCTGAAAGTAATGAGCCAATTGAATTGGTTAGATAGGAGCCACAAGGGGGACAAAAGGTTTAATTCACTCCAATCTGTCACAATCTGCAGACTGGCATCACCTGTAAGCCTCTCAGGAAAGAGACACCAAGAAAGAAAGAGGCAGTGATGGAATAGAGGAGAGGATGTGAAAGAAACAACCCAGCTTAAATAAAACGAAAGCAAAAGCAGCAGAAAGAAGAGAAGATGGGGACGAACTACGTGTGGAGATATCTTTTAAAGACAGGCACAGAAGGAGTGTATCGAGAAGATATAGGTTAACACGAGAAAAGACCTTGGCCCAAAAAATGGAAGGAGTACTCGACATGGACGCGCACGACGGGAGTGCGCGTACCCCGAATTAAAAGGTGTGCACTGGTTGTCAGCCCTGGAGAAATCAATGAAACCACTCATTAGGAAATAAAATACTTCACGGGAACTAAACGTGGATACCATGACTCAGTGGAAGGTTTTGCTCGTGGTTTCTGCGCAGACACACTCTGACAATCCACTCGCATCATTTCTTTCTCTTTTTCTACGGTGCAAAGCGGATAGATAAACACTGCCACTATACTCTCACGTACCCGCAAAAGAACACCCTAGTACTGAGCGAGGCAGTCACACGAGCATCTATACGGGTTTGTTTAGCCCCCCACCCCCGCAGCTGTCACACGCACTCACACGCGGAGTTTTGAGATGATAAACACAGAGCAGGGAACATGTGAGCGACTCACGTTGAAAAAACGGAATGGGTAAAATAAATAGAGCTGCTCAACGACTTAGCTGTCAGGTAACAACATTTTTTGCCCCCCCACCTCGCGTGCGCTCTCACTGGAGCACGAACGCTAACACGACTTATGAATTCAGCTCTTTTTCACAGCTGTCACACAGGCACGTACATTTTAAGTCGGGTTAAAAAGACGAAACAAAACGGGGAGTCATGATTATAATTACTACGAAAAGACGCATAACTGCAGGTATTCAATGAGAGGGGGAAATACTCACCGTGCCACGAGAGTCGTGCGCACACGTCAGTAAGCCAAGAAACCTCACACCAGGGAGGCTTGCTGGGTTTTTGTCTCTCCTCTCACTCTCTCCTCTCCTTTCTCCCCTTTCCTTCTTACTCTCTCTCTCTCTCTCTCTCTCTCTCTCTCTCTGTCTTCTTCTCTCCTCTGTGTATTTTCCCTTAAGCCCCCTTACCCATCCTCTAAAATTCCTCACTCTCTCTTTCACTCCGTCTGTCCCAGGCACTGCGGTGGATCGGTTCAGGAAGCTACTTTGGTTACCAAAGAGACATACTGTAGCGGGAGCAGGGGGGGTAAAAGTGTCGAAGGGAGAGAGAGTGAGAGAGAAAGAGAGAGAGAGTATATCTGAGTATGTGTGTGTGAGAGAGAGAGGTGGAGTGGAGTGATGTCAAACCGCAATATCGCACTTCACTGTATAAACTGTTGTATAGTAATACTCACTCATCTTTTTTAACGTCAATTTCTCTGGGTGTGTTGTCACATTTAAAGAAAATAATATAGGCTTTTTTTTTAATACTTGCTTTTGTACTCACTCTGTAAAACTCTTTGAAACTGTCCCAGCAACCTTCACAGAAGCTGCCCTGAACATACAATTTCTATAAATTACTTGATGTCACATCTTTTAAAATGATTTTAAGGGAATAAATAACGTCCATGTGGTAAACTTTGCAATAATTTCCTCACATGATGAACAGTAATATACAATATTATATATAACTATATAATAAATATAAAGTTTTCCAGCCAAGAGAAGCTGAATGAAAAAAGTTGAGGACTTGGTAGTGAGTATCTTTAGGAATGGAAAGGGTGAAAAACTTCAAATTTCACACATTTGCTGTGTGGAGTTTTGAAAATAAACACAAACAATAGATTACGTACCCTCAGTATCGCACAGTAGATAACTAATGACTGAATAAGGAGTTTCATTCAACCCCACAGTGCTGATGAATATCAGAAAAACGTGTAGTAACCTCTCCTTCACTTTCTCCTCCTGTCCCCTCCTTCTTTGTCTCCTGTGGTCTGTGTCCCTTACTCTATTTTTAGCTGGCTGGTGGAGGATTCATATATTTTTAGCAACGATATCAATAGTCTACAGCACACTCTGACCTCAGGGCACGAGCGAGAATGAGAGTGAGAGATTAAGGGGGGCGAGAATAAGAGACTGAGGCGCGATAGGAGCGACGAAGGATAGAGATAGAAGCAGAGGAGGCAGTGGCGAAGGAGGGGGATGATATCGTGTCAGAGTGACAGTGAATGATGGACTGCACATACAACTCCAACCACTGAGCGCTGGTGGTTCAGTTACACCAAGGCTGATGCTGTCAGTGCTGGAGAAAAGATTGTGATGGAAGTTAAGAATCAGCTTTAGATGTAAAAGAAACAGGCTGATGAGAAAAAGTGTCACTACGTGCTTTATTTTCTGTTTGACACTCTTCAGGACTGCACTGCAGATTAGAAACATATCCCAGACTATTAAGAAGGTTTATCTGTCATTACAAACATATCTACCTCAGGTATATTCAGATTAAAGTCGCTTTAACGTAAGCAAGTATGAAGTATGGCTTTTTTAAAATAAAGAAATAAATCAACACAAAGATCAAGAAGTTTTTTTTTTCATTAAAATATGCTTTTATATGATATAGTCCACTCAAAATTATACTCCTACATGTCCACTGCCTGAACACCATTAGCATAGAAAATACTGTATAAGTGTAAATCAGATCATAATACTGATGTAGAGGCCAGGAGAAGACAAGCTACACATATCAAGAGCCAGCAACAGGAGTATTTCAAAGAGATACAAGCAACACAATAAATTTAGACAGGTGATTATTGAAGAATGATGTACAACGATGCAGTAAAGCATTTACAGTGCAGAACTGACAGAAAAGACAAACAGAGGGGAACAGACATGAAGGGCAGATAGAGAAGGGAGGGAAGTAGACAGGGAGATGGGAAGTTGATGAGATTTTAATGTGAAGGTCAACTTGTTATAACTCAGATCTCCACAGGGATATTAGTCCCATCATGGTGATGCTGGAGGGGCCGGGGGGGTGGGGGCTGCTTCAGAGGAGGAGGGCACGGAGGGAGATGCCTGAGAGGTGTTTTTGCTGGTTCAACAGCTACAGTAGCCCACTGAACAGAGGGGTCAGCATCTTCTCCGTGCGTGAGTGTGTTCACATGCCAGGGATTGCACTTTTGAGCGTGAGTATGTGTGAAAGTGCGGGGAGGAGGGGGGTGGAGGGAGCGTGACAGGGAGGCAGGCTCGTGGTGAAGACAAAGCGAGAGGCCGTGCATGTTTGTTTGTCAGCAGCTTCACACGCCATCACAGAAAGACACACTTCACTGGTGCTGTTTCATAATTTTTTCCCATCAACTTTATTTTCTTTTTCTTTTTCCAGCACATAAAAACAAAACCTATCAGATACATGATCTATCAATGATCTATTGCACTATTGATCATCATCTATTGTAATTATCGTACTGAGGGATTGTGTGCACTGACATCTGACTTCGGCTCAATCGGATCTAAAATAACAGGCAAACAGATGTAAAGCAAAACTGTACATGAAAAAAAGAATCAAAGAAATAAACCATATTTATGTGTAAAATGACCAGCTGGTTCATTAGATAAGAGCACGGGGATGAGATTTTTGCACAGCAAGTTTGCAGCCACCTGCTCTGCTCAGATAGGGCTTAATGACAGCACTGCTGTTATTTTTCCATGTATTGAACAGTCCCAGTGAGCCTCACTTTTAATTACTCCTAATCAATACTGTGAGCACGTGATTACACAGCAAAAAGCTTTACGGCATACACCATTAAAATCATAAGTATATGTACCTGTGCAAGCTAACAAGCCTCTCGTCTGGGAAAGACATTAAAAAGAGGCTTTTATTGATAAAACTGTAATGTTTACTTGGAGTAATAGGATATTTGTAGTTGCAATGCAGAAAGGCCATATTCCATAGCGTGCTCAAGAATAAAAAAAATAATAATAATGCAGATAAACTGTGAATGTCAAATGAGGACTCCCTTCCAGTGACATTACACACCACACAGTGTGAGTCTGGGTGGGTGGAGCAGAGCTGTGGTCCACCCTAACTGTCACATTGAGATAACTGCCTTGTTTAAACATCTCAGTGGGTCATCTGAAGTCGTTAAACCTTGAGGTCGAGCCAGGTCAGAGGAGTCTGACTAAGCGCTTCCACAGGACGCCTCTCTTATAAAATAAATAAATACCTAAAAATGGCTCCCCGCTCAATTTGCTTCATAGTCAACATGTCATTTATCCAAAATAGAGAGCACAAAAACCCCCCCAGAGTGAGATACTGTAGGTAGTCAGAAAGAAACCTTTAAGTGCTGTTAATGCTGAGTACTTGCAATGGACAATACACAATGCTAAGATGGAATTGGCATCAAAATGGTGAGATGTCCTGCTTTTACATACTGTGTGGTCATTGTAGCTGCATGAATGAAACCCTGACTGGTGAAATATAACACGTGTGCATAACATATGACTACTTTACTTAAAGGAAAGGAAAGTAAAGTATCTGCCTTGGATAGTCTAGTGCTATAAAAACTATCTGCATGCATAGAGATTATTTTTCTCACGTTCATACTACAGTACCTTTAGATCAAGTTAAGTCTTATAAAAAAAGTCTAAGATGGCAGTCCATAGTACTGACTATGTTTGCAGTGTTGATACACATTCTGTGATGAGTGAGTTAATAGACATGCATCAAAGAGAGTGCCCGAAAATCGAGGTGTCTTGGCATTTTCATGTAAACGTCTGAATTTGGTTATGAGAGGTGTAATACTCGCTGCTAGCTCTCACGTTCAAATTCTCTGCTATAAAACTACAATCAGAAGGATAACAGGATCATCTGGCTAGACTTGGAACTGCGGCTGGAGCAGATTTGGGAGCCGTTTTCAAACAGCGGTGAGCGGTGACGGAGCAAAGTCTGGGTTGATGAAGGAGAAGCCTTCGAAGTCTTCCTGGTTCATGGCTGCGAGTATGTCCGGGTCCGAGGGGGTGAGCGCCGTTTGAGCAGCTGTGAAGAACTTGTCAAAGTTCTCACCTTTTTTCCCACCCTGGCGATGAAGAAGAAGAGAAGGCATGTACACACAAGACTGAGATTAGGGCACATCTTCATGCATGCATGATATTGCATCCACAATAAACTTTACAAAATCCCTCCCCCCGGAGCAAAAATAGTTTATTAAAAATGTTAAACTATAAAAAGAATCCACCCCCATGTTTTTTCCTCACTGAGACCTCCTTTTATCTCACTACAGAAGCACACAGGAAGAAAGCTGATCACATATCCTCCCCAGCTGCCTAACAGCATATGACAGCCGTTCTGCCGAATGATATGAATCTCATTTGGCTAATGGGCCTGGCCTCTAACCCCTGAGCATACTCGGCCCACTTAAGGCACACCTCACAAACGGCCAGTGCGCCGGCACTTTGGCAAGTGGCAGGCTAATGATGACATACATTTGCATATGGGAGGAGTAGGCAAGACCCCAAGGTCAGAAGGTCTTGTCTGTTATGACTGAACTGTCTGTTCCTGAGCTCTTAAAGCCTATCTAAGAACCCAAAGAGGTGATAAATGAGGAAATAGAGGGGATGCGAAGGGGAGAGAGGGAGAGACAGAGAGAGGAAGAGGGAATGAAAAGGCCAAGGCAAATGTGGAGGAAACATGCAGGGAAACGAGGGACAATGTGGGAGTCAGAGAAAAAGGAGACAGATGTAAGAAAGTGACAGCTCCAATTCCCTAAAAGTGTCCTCAGAGAGGCTGAGAAGAGAAGAAAGAGAGGAGGAGGAGGAAGAAAGAAGGAACATGTGGTTCATCTGTTTAACTGAACTGACAGTTCTGGGTTTGAAAGGTGCCGGGATTTCCAGTCTCTCCAGACGGTCCCAGTCAATCCAGCGGAAGAACGGATGCTCTCTGATCTCCCTCTCTGCATCTTCTCCTTCACCCAGGCGCTTGGCCGGGTGCTTTGTCAGGAGCTGAGTCAAGAGAGGAGGAAATGAGGGGAGAAATGTGAGAAAAAGCGACTAGCCTGGGATAATAATGTGATACGATAAATGACTTCTGTTTATGATCTGTCTCGGTTAGAGCAGTCGGTGTGCATGATAAGCTTTGCTTTATTTTGGAATCATGTACTGTAATCCAATTCCTTTGTTGTCTTGCCAACAAATGGATTTTTATTGCGCTATCACTTTGAAAAACCTTGACATTTTTTGGGAATTATGCTTGTTTGCTTCTTGCAGAGAGATGAAGATCATTAAGATTCTGCTATCTGTACACCAATTATGAAGCTACAGCCAGCAGCCACTTAGCTATGCATAAACAACCGGAAAAAAAAAAAAAACAGTTATTACTCACTATTTGTGAGTAATAAAACTCAACTGCCCAAAACATGGATAAAAACACTGTAGTGTAAAAATAAAAAGTTTTGCGCTGAAGAGTAAAGTTGGTTGCCTCCAGCCTGATATCTAACAGACAGTTGTAAAAGTGGTGTCGGTCCAGCTCTTTGTAAAAAAGCAAATTAACATAGTTCCTAAAACTATTCCTTTAGGCGACCGAATACAATCTTGCACGAGTAAAGAGTTATTTCATTTCCTGTTTTACAGTACATGAACTTTTATCTTAATTGCCCGTGTGTTAAAAGTTAATATGAGAAACGAGGATTGAACTCACTCCCTTGCAGATAGCTACAGCCTCCCGAGAGAGACTTTTTGGGTATGAGACACTCTGCTCCATGATGGACTGAAACAGCTCCTCCTCGTCAATGCCATCAAATGGCGGCTTAAAGGAAAAGAGAGTGAGGGAGAGAGCGGAAGAGTTTAAGCACAGACCTGTGGGCAAATTGATAACGAATATAATGAAATTAAAGTTCTTTGAAAGTCTTTTGAAGTGATTACAAAGGACGAGTACTGGGGGCTTAAAGTGTCTGTGCACGCTATTGTTAGGATTAAGCTGAGTGTTACCTGTCCTGCCAGCATTTCATACAGCAGCACTCCATAAGACCACCAGTCCACTGCTTTATTATAGGGCTGATAGGCCACAATCTAGGGGAGGGATAAAAAGGATGGAGAGTGTATGAGAAGATATAAATGGGGAAGAATGGCAGTGCAGCGATAGGAAGAGAGAGGCAGCTGGCTGCCTGGATGATATGCAGCTACAAGAAACAGCAGGGGTGAAAAACAGAGAGAAGCGAAAGGATAAAGTGTAAGGGAGAGTTCATGTGTGAATGAGCTCAGAAATAATCAACACACGGATTTGGATTTGCACTTGTGTTCACAAGCTTGTGTGTTTGTTTGTTTGTTTGTTTCCCCGATACGTGCGTGTGTGTGTGTGTGTGTGCCAGGAGGGGGAGGTGGTGGTGTGCTGTGCAGAGGGGCACGAGGGAACAATCCCCAGCCTCTGGGGAAATATATTGCAACTCTTCCAAAATGGCAGACACAGGAGAATCAATGGGTGTTTACATAAGAGAGTCAATACCCAGGGGTTCCACAGCAAGGTTTACAATATCAAAGACGCACACAACAGTCGCTTCCCCACTTTCTCTCTCCCCCCGTATCACTCAGCCACCGACCGAGATGCCTTCTCTGAAGTAAATTGTTTAAGATCACTTCACACGGTAAGGCGCACATACGCATTTCCAACAATTTGTAAGGTAAACATTATACAGGCAGACAGTTATGGTTTGCATATCAAAAGAACGTCAAGCAAAACCACCTTCACTTTTTCATTATTTCACTGCGGCTGATATTTGCACTGACATTAGTGACATCCCTTTTAGTCTTTTGGTGCTTCATCTCATTATGTTCACACAATTTCAGCTCCGTCTTCAACCACGGACAGTGGCGCACATGAAAACTGAAACAGGATTTCTTTGTTACAAATTTATACTGACCGATGAAACGGATTTTTCTACTTTAAAAAAAAAAATAGAGATAAGCCAAGCTTTTTGCCACCCTTTTCCTATCATTCAGAAAAGTAAACTGCTGACTTGAAGTAATGTGATTACATGTAAATTCTCAGTGTAATATTATTGCATAGGTACAATGTGGAACATTAACTTCAATGGAATCTGGTCAAAAGAAATGTATTTTATTGGTATACGCTCCTTTTATACCAAGGATATTTTCCTTAATTATTTATTACTTGATTAACCTTTCAGGTTTGATGTTTATGAGGGCAAAGAATGATTTTTTTAAGTGCTCCACTGCAGCTCAACACAAACACTTCTTTGTTTGCTTCCTTCAACTCATTAACCATAACTTTAAATAAAAACCTACTTAATTTTACAAATGGAGACTGCTGAAATCCCATAATAACATGAAATAAACCTCACTACATTTTCTGGAAATGTACTAAAAAGTAAAGTTGGCAAAATTTATAAATGCCACGTATGAGCGAGGGCAAGCTATCCATTGTAGTGGTTTGTTTAACTATTTTTAAATAAAGACTTTACATGCAAGTTAAACCTGTCAGCGGCTGTGAGAAAGCGGCGCTATGCTCGTAAAACAATGTCTCAGAAGGACAGTAGTGACTTCTATGCAACACTCTCATAGTACAATCACACACCACTGCTTACTGAATCATGTGAAGTTAATTATTCACAAACTGCTGACAAGGTCAGAGAGGACAGAAGAGACGAGGGGGAGCTGCAGCGAAGCAACTCGGCGTCTCGCGGCAATGCCGAACAGGTCAAGCAAACTAAGAGGGGTGAAATGAGGGAAAATGAGGGAAAATAAGGAACAAATGAGGGAAATATCAGGAGTGACTGTGGACAATAGCGTGAGGGCAGCGGTCACGGTACCTCAGGGGCGATGTAGTCAGGAGTGCCGCAGAAGGTACGTGTGGTGTCGCCCTCGAACATGCCCTCCCTGCACATCCCAAAGTCTGCTATCTTTATGTGGCCCTCGCTGTCGAGCAGCACATTATCCAGCTTTAGATCCCTGAGAGGGGAGAAACGCCACACAGGTATGAATCACTTTGATAGATACCATCTTTATAACAGTCATTAGCTACAAAAGACATGATAAATCTGTGTCGTGTCTGTGCCGAACGCAGACTGAAGTGAACACAGGCAAACCAGGCCACGTTATGAAGCAGCCCACTTCTTTACCTGTAGATGATGCCTTTGCTGTGGAGGAAGAAGAGGCCGACCGCTATCTCTGCTGCATAAAACCTGGAGGGAGAGAGGAGGAGGAGAAGGAGGGACAGAGAATCAGCTAATTCAAAAGAGGATGATGACAAGAGGTTAGGAGAGAGGGAATGGCGCTGGAGAGGGTGATGAAAGGGAGAAGCAACCAAAGAGATGAAAGGCAGGAAAATGAAGAAAGAGAGATGGAAATGAGCAACAGGGCAAAAATTAGTTTTAGATGATTGATCAAAGATTATTGATTAGAAGAACAGCCAGGGGGAGGGAGAATGTAGATGATACGATAAGATTAGTGGGAGGAGAAAGTCGGGAAAGAGAAAAGGGCTGGCACTTGAGTTGATGACTTTTTATGAGTCACCAGGTATAATGAACAAAGCTAAGAGACGAGTGTGTATGTAAGAGAGCACAGAACAAAAAGGCAGGAAATGAGACTTTGTGTAGATAAGGACGGTGATTAAAGGAGCTTTTTGACTACATACGCTGCGTGAGGCTCTTTGAACTTCCCAACTATCTGAATGTGAAACATCAGGTCTCCTCCGTTGACATATTCCATCACGTAATACAGTCGGTCCTGCAGAAGCAAAAACACACACACACACACACACACACATGCGCAAGCTCCTCATGCATAAGCACCTCTTGTCCAAATTAAAAAGCAATCTGTTAAAATACCTCCTTCAGGACCGAGGACCTTGTTAAAGAAAGCAAGCTAATTATTTCATTTATAAATCGGAATTCGCCCAACCTGGACCGAAACAACTCCTGGGAGGACGATGCAGCCAAAGTGTCAGGCAGCTTTATGGCCAATTTAATGAAATTTAGACAGTTCATTTGGGAATCCAGATACCCACACACCTCAGTCTGGAAGGCGGAGTAGAGGGACGTGAGGAAGTGAGGACGAGAAGGGAGCGCCAGAACCCTCCTCTCTACTAGAGCGCTCTCCGTGTCCTCGTCCTGGAAGAGAACGTCTTTCTTCAGCACTTTTATGGCAAACAGACGCTCGCTGCCTCGCTCCTCTGCCAGCAGCACCTGTGCAGGAGGGGGAAGAGAAGAGAAAGTTTCTGAAGAAACAAGGAGACAAGCGTGAATCCCAAAAGTCTGCAAAGCAGCTACCGTATGTCTTCAAAACCCATAAATAAACAAAATGTTTACAGAAAACACAGGACTGGCTTTCGGGTTGAAATGTTAGAGAGTCGAGAAAAACACAATTTCCCCAAAATTCCAAAGTCACCTTTGAACATTTCTGAACGGATAACACAACAGCAGCAAACCAGGAGCAGCTTTAAAAAATGATTATAGCTTTGACATAAAAGTGCTCTCGGACTTAAAAAAAAATCCCCAATGCAACTCTTCTCGCTCCAAAGACAGCCGTGCATGTGACGTGCTGTACTGCAGTCAGGTCTGAGTGTTTTTTAGGTTATTGTGTTAGCAGTGATGAGGTGCACTGGTCGCAGGAGAAAACTAGTTCCACTGTTTAAATAAACCAGCGCCCGTGTAAAATGAATAAAAGGCAAATATAGTGCAAGAGGAAAAGAAAAAAGTTATAACTTCAGAATGGATAACAGCAAGTTTGGTAATGTACATGTATGATGAAATAACTCAATGTAAAGTTTAATTAAAGTTGAAACAGGCCTGAGGGTTTCAAGACATTAATGTCTCGAGTGGACAGGGAAAGCCCTAAAAGCTTGCTCTCGTGTTTTAATCAGACATTAAAAACACATTTTCTCACTCCTATTAAACTGGCTGCTCGTGGGTAGCTCTGAGTGCTAATGATGCTATAATTTTCCACAATGAGTGCCACGTGATCCAGGTTTCACTGAGATAAATATGGTCAATAAATATGGAAAATGCTGACAATAACACTGTTAGAAATGATCAGCCCTCAGTGCTGAGCTGTAATAGAGGCGAGTGGAAATTAAGGATCTCATTTTACTTTCAAATGGAGGTGAACAGCACTGAAAATTACACCGTTTTTAAATATATATATATAAAACAGTGCGACTACGCTAAGATGACTCCCTGTGTGTGTGTGTGTGTGTGTGTGTGCAGGGCTATTGATGAACTGCCAGTCAGCAGGAGAAATCCTACCATCTGTGATCGTGTCTCCTGCTCTGCGTCGTGGTTTTAAACCAACTCACATAAAAATAGGACTCATCACCCTGCAGAATATTACAAATCTTAGTAGCATGTACTTTTTCTATTTGCCGCTCTTGTTATCCCATTTCCTTTTTGGTCATTTTGTCACTTTCTGCAGCGCAGTAATCCTTCTCTCTTCCCTCTATCTCTGTCTGTCTCCTTCTCACTTTCCCTCACTCAGCAGCCCCGGGGTCTGTCTCTCCTTTCTTGGGTCGTTTTTTTTTTTTTTTCTCTCTCCTCACATCTTACGTAAGTCGAGTCTATTTCTCCTGTCCTCTGTAGACTCTCCTCTGACAGTTATGAAACAGCACAGGGGGATTTCAGAAGAGGAAGAAGGACTCAAAACTCCTCTCTCTTCATTATGTCTCATCTACTGGGGAATTAAAGAGAAAATGGAGAGCAAAGGCTCCCTTGAAATGAACACCTCCAGGATGACTGCCTGTGTAGCATGTGGGAAGCTCACGACTGCTGACAACACAAAAGAAGCAAAGGGTTAAATGAATCATTTGGCAGCAGAAGTAGAGACAGTGAGTATGTTCATAAGAAAGGGTAATTTATTATTTTTTTCAAAGAAATTCTGGTTTCCTGTGCCTGGGAGCTGCTGCATGAAATGCCACTTGAAGGTCAAGTCCATCGATAGAAGAAAGGATTTAAATCCAGGAATAATCTTTGTTGTTTCCAGCATGAATGGTCTCTTTGATATCATTCGCAGTTGCTGGATAAGAGGTGATGATTGTGTGTACAAAAGAAAAGATGGCATTTCGTTTACCTTGCCAAAGCTGCCTTTTCCAAGAACCATGAGGAAGTTGAAATCGTGGATGCCCACTTTAACTTTGCCAGGGCCCGGAGTGTGGACAGGGGGACAGGAGGGAATGAGGGTCGGGGACAGGGCCACGGGAAATGGTTCAGACAGCGGGGAAGGCATCGCTTGAGGCAAAGAAGGTGTAGTAGCATCTGGCTGAGGCTCCTGGAGAAATAAAATGGGATGTTCGAGAGATAAATGACACACCCCCACACAGATCCATAAAACAGGAACCCAAGACAAACCAAACTCCCTCCTACCCCCAGTTTTGGACTGCAGTCAGGCAGCACAATTCTGCACCCTGGTGGATGCAGAGTGCAACAGAGAAGAAAGGGCACTCAGTATAATTTATTATCTAATTATTTAGCAATAACACCGGCATTAATCTTCCAAGTTTTTTTTTTCTTCCTTAGATAGAACTGTAGGAAACGGGATAGTTCAGCAGGACAGACGCTGACCCAGTATGAGCTGTGGCAGCTGCTGTTTGTTAGATGTAGGTAATTATAAGCTGATAAAAGCTTTGGCAAGGTCTAAGGATGAATGGTCAAAGGCATGGCACAAAATAAAGGGTTGCTCCACTTCCTGGCGAATACAGGTATAAATATCCCGTCACTTGCTTTTTGTTCACCTTGAGCCCATCTGATGGCTTTATGTCCATATAAAGCAGCCTGCTGCCTACCTGCAGGTCCGGGTCTGGCACAGGAATGTTGTAGTACTCTCCCTCATCTTGGGCCAGCAGTTTGAACCAACCACTGATTGGACGCCTGAAGATCTCACTCACGCCAAACGACAGCGCTCCCATGAAATCGTTCCTAGACGTCCGGTCCCAGTCCCATATCTCCACAGACAGACGCCTGTCCCACTGGTGACCACGCACGGAGCTGAGGAGTCAAACACACACTTGTGACAATTTGATACATGATGAAACACAAAGCATAGAACAAAATCCTCCCTTTTCAGTGTGACCTTTGCTGAAATGTCTTATTTCCCCTGGATATCAAAGATGCACCTATAAGAAAGTAAAGGTTAACGCCGCTGAGTAATCCGATTTTACATATAGCAACGTTTGTGGCAGAACCCTGTAAATTTTCCACCCTAAAGTTTGCAAGGACTCACAAGGTGAAGCTCTCATTCCAGACGGGATTGAGTGTTGAGCGGATGGTCTTAGTCTTCTGTTTGCTGTGGCTCTTTGGGTCTGGAATCAATTTCAGTTTAACATACGGGTCTGACAAGCCATTTGGGTCCATGGGCATCAAGTTACGAGCCTCCCGCACTGAAACAGCAGTGAAACAATAAAAGGAAAGAAGAGAAACCTTACATTTCCTACAGAAGCCTGCTTTTTGTTTAAATTGGTTGAATCCAGCGGGTCCTCCCACCTGTGACAAAGACGTCCTCCTTTTCTCCTCTGATGGTCAGATGGATTCTCCCTCTCTTCTCTGTGTGATCCTGGCCACACAGACTGGGGACGCTGGTCTCGCATCGCCGATGGACGTTCATGTCACAACCTCACCACACAAAGACGCACAAAAGACAAAGTGTGAACACAGACATGCGCTGGATACGTGTGGAGTAATTAGCTGTAATCAGTCTAAATACACTAGCGTGCTAACTTTATTAAGCATAATAATTAAAAAGATGAGATGAGGAATAGTGGTTGTGGGCTTCACTAGCTTTCAAAAAACAAGAACATTTATGTGAGCAAGTTCTGAAATTATTGGTTAGTATGTGCCAGACTTTCTTCACAGGGTATAGAAGCCTCCTGGAGTCTCCACTAGTTTCCAAACTCTTCATCTAATTCTCAGCAAGAAAGTGAACAAGCACTTTTTCCAAAGTAACTAACTATTCCTTTATCTTAGCCAAAACAAATGATAATAATAGCTGGAAGTCTTCTCCAGATGTGAGTTTCAGCAATGTGTATATGTGGAGTGATATTCATCTGAGCATAATAGCTAATAAAGGCTCAAAGCACGTAGATTTATGTATCTCGTAGAGTGGAGTGAAACTCACTGGTACATTTCATGCCCTGGTGTATGAGGCCATACAGCAACGAGCCACAGTGGTCACAAAATGTAGGGCTGGAGTACGTGTGGATCTTAAATGTGTGTCGACTCTTCAGGTCCTGAAATAAAACAGAAAAACAATCTGCACTGAGAACACGTTCTCTCTCTCACACACATACATACGATGATTGTGGAACACACACACAGACACACACACACACACACGTACAGAGCGTGATTAGCGGAGAGAAGATGAGTGGGGCATTCGTGGACAAGCCAATTAGATCTCTCCACTCGGAGAGGACACACAGTGTGTCTGCAAGGCTGCGTGTGTGAGCGTGTATATACTGTGCACAGAGGGATGAATCATTTTTATCTCTCTTCAGCTCATCAGACCACCCCACCGCCCCGCTTCATACACCACCTTCTCCCAAACTGTTTTCCCTCCCTTGTCGCACTGAGTCGCTATTTAAAAACTGTCACCCTGTTTCTTCTCTTTCCCTCTGTGTGTTCTTTCACTGTCTCATCCATTTTCGATCTCTCACACATGCACACACACACACACACACACACAGTTACACACATTTTCTCATTGACCTCAATTCTCAGGCAGTTTATTTAGCTGGTAGAAAAAAAATGTGAGTGAAAGACAAATCTCCCTGAAATCCTCAAAATGACACACAGAAGAAGACTGAGCAGTCTGTGGCTCTCGCTCTCTTTCTCCCCCCTCTAATTCTCACTCTTATCAGTCCATCCTGCCCTCCACCTGTGTCTCCACCACACCACATCTCCCACTCCCAGCATTTCAGATGCCTTGTAGGATTGCACGACATGAGTGCAGACGTCATGGATGGAAACTGCATGGACTGATGGCTGACTCACGCACACATGCTACTGTCATCAAAGGATGTTGAAAAATGATGATGACGATGCAAATCTTCACAAAAACCGAAAATAAGAAGGGAAAAGATACGTCTGCTCACATCTGGTGTGGGGGCAGTCACAGAGCCGGGGCACGTGAAGGTCACAAACTCGTGACATCTTTTGTGGACCACAAAACTGCAAACTAGAGAAAGCAAACATCTCAGAATGAATCTGCTTTGCAGGACAAAAAATACATCAGAGAAGATTAAACGCTGCAAGGAAAGGCAATAATGCTAGGTTTATCTCTACCTTGACATTGGAATCCCTGTTTCCCAATGCCCCTGTGTGAAAAAGACACATGGATTAAGATACAAAAACAATTTTCTGCAGTCTTCCTTAAGGTGAAATATTTAGCTTTGGAGAATGAGATATTGCTATTGCGTTACTCTGCACTGTATAAAGACGAAATGCAGACTCTAGTGGAAAACAAATTGTCTCATAAAAAGACAAAAAACACCAACAACTTGATACACTAAGTCATTATGTGTGAAGTTTGAGTGCTTTTCCTTTCAAAGCCTCACCGCTGACCAGGTCAAACACTTCCACGCACACACACCAATACGATGCTTCTGCAATGTTGGCTAGCTTCCAGGGTCTCCTTAAAGCTTTAATTGAATAATTAAGTCATTGATTGACTAAACAGTCCACTCAGCAGCTTGCCTGTTGTGGATCGAGTTTTGATTAGAAGGCTTAGAAAGGCAGGCAAACGAGAGACCTCGACAGCTCCTCTACAGTCATACCGGAGAGGCTCAGGGGTTCATAGGAAACTGACCATAATCACTGATCTACAATCAGTTCACCATCTGGCTGAGTAATAATTAAAGAAAGGGTTGCTGAGGGTAATCTGATCCTTGATCAGCACTCAACAGAAGTCCGTGTCTGTAGCACCAAATGTATCCGACCAGTTCTGCTTTTTGACCAGCAGAGAGCATTAGAGAACCAGATATGGTGAGGATTCACAGAGCTGCTCTCTGGCCAGATATCACAGAGAATTTAATGTAGGGGATAACTGCATTTTGAATTAATGATGTGAAAAAAATCTACCAAACACATGCAATTGAATAAAATGCTTCTATAAAAACATCAGACTAACCCCTATTGGAGCTTTTTTTTGAGAAAGCTCTTTATCAAAAAACACACTTTGACATGTGACAATAGAACAAACACATAAACAAATGAATTATGGCTAAATTCCATTTTGCTGCTGCAGATAGAGAATCTATGACACTCTCTCTGACGGTAATTAGCACCGTCCCCTCACAGCGATCAGGTCCTGGATTCGAATCCATCAGCCGGCTGGGGCCTTTCTGGGTGGAGTTTGCATGTTCTCCCCGTGCTCGCATGGGTTCCCTTCGGGTACTCTGGCACAGTCCAAAGGACATGCTTGTTAGGTGTTAACTGGTAATTCTAAATTGGCCATAGGTGTGACTGTGAGCGTGAATGGTTGTCTGCCTCTCTGTGTGAGCCCGGCAATAGATTGGCAAGCTGTCCAGGGTGTACCCCCCCAACTCCCGCCCTATGACAGCTTGGATAGGCTCCAGCCCAACTGCAATCCCTTATTGGATAACTAGATGGATGGATGCTGCAGTTGGTGGCACAGCGGTGCAGTGGTTAGCACTGTTATCTCACAGCAAGAAGTGCCCGAGATTGAACCCGATGACTGGCTGGGGCCTTTCTGTGAGGATGCATGTGCCTGTGTGGATTCTTTCCAAGTTTGCTGGCTTCCTCCCACAGCCCAAAGACATGCATGTTAGGTTAACCGGTGATTCTAATTTGGCTCCAGATGCTAATGTGAGCATGAAATTGTGTGTCCTGTTGTTAGCTCTGTGACACACTGGAGACTTGTCTCTGCCTTGACAATACGGATGCTTTAATTTCAGACCATTCTGATGTGGCTCACTATTATGGCTTATTGAGACACTTGATGGTGACGTTATGACCAGCAAATCTGATCTCCATCTATGCCAAATCACAATTCAGCCTTCTTCAGCCTCCTAACATCCACCAGGTGTTCTGGTTAGGATAAGGATTAGGTTAGCATCCAGTCTATTTATAGATGGGTTTTTTTTGTCCCATTTGGCACACACAAGTGGAAAAACATGTAAAAGAATAAAACAAACAAACAAAACAAACACAGGACCAAAATGACACTATATATGCAATGTTTCTTTGAATAATCCACTTGTTTAGTATATGGATAATATCTGACCCTAACAGTAAGCAGGTGACCAGCAGCTTGGTAGATGTTAAAAGGTTTAAGTATCATAACAAATATTTTAAAAACTATGATCCTTGTTAGTATGCTAAGACTGGACTGTGACACGAAGCAATTTCACATTTTAATGTTTTCAGACAGTTTTGCTCAGTTATTATCCAAAGGAGCCAAAACAGGTACAACCCACTACTCTTTAAGACCTTGACTTAATAAACAAGATATTTACATTTACAAATTAGAACAATCTTGCCTTAGTCTTTAATTAATCTAACAATCTCCCCGGGGCCTCTAACACCGTGATTGAAAGCGTCTGCTCTGACATCTTGTGCAAAATAAGAGAGTTTTCAACCTCATCTAAGAGCTGCTACCACTGCCAAGACAGCAGCCAGTTGGAGAAATGTCCTGAAAGATACCCAGAGGCTGCTGGCACGTACAGCGCCCTGCATCCAACATACACTCCCACCATATGTTCAAACACACAGCCACTTACACTCACAACGATAAACACTGACTACTGCGCCTTCAGTGGTCGCTCACAGGGTGTCGTCTGATCATAAAGAAGTCAAATCTGATTCTAAATTCATGTATACGCGCATAAATGTTATAAATGATGATAAGCACTGGTATGTTATTTTACTATTAGGTTTTTTAAAAGGTAATCTAATATTATGTTATAATAAGTTATTAAAGTCACCTGTAAATACCTATATGTACTTCTAGATACTTAAAACCTTAAATACTTACACCAAATCCCAGTTTGGGATTTAGGTGTTTCTGAGATTAATGTCAGAGTTTCTGTAACATTAATCTCAAATCTCCAAATGCAGAGTCCAGCACCATCTGGAGCAATTACAGCAGATAGTAAACATGGTAAAACTCTATCAGTGCCAAACCGACTGCATTTTAGAATTTTTACTGCTTTTTACTGTTAATTTTACTGCTTGGTTTAGTTTACTCATTAAAAAACATACTACTAAGTCCGTGAAAACAATCCTATGATGTGTTTTGTCGCTCAAGAGGAGACTGCAGAAGTCTGAAACATTAACCCTTTTGACGTCTCAGTCTGAATTTCAGACTGAATGTTTTCTACTCCTGCATTATTATTGTGGATATCTCAGATTCTTCAGTCCATCCCTTATGAGTCCTTCAGATTTATGAAACTAAACAGAGTACCCCTTTAAAAAAAGAAAGTTAATTATTACTAAAAAATGTAATTACTTCACGGTTGGTGCCTGTCTGTTTTAATGCAGTCAGGCTAAAGTTCATATCCTAATTAAGTTCTTGTTTGTCTGTGTTTTTTCAGTATATATATATCAATGCATCGGCGTGTGTGAGTTCCTAACGTAACGCCTGGATTATGTGGGCGGCAGTGTGGAGGTGAGGTTATGTGATCAGAGCAGGTCAGTGTGGGCAGTCTCTCCAGCAGGCAGCTGGAAAGGGTGAAAGAAAGAGAAAAGGGAAAAAAAAGCAGTGAAAGTCAGCACTACGTGGAGTGGTGGGATGCCTGAGGAGGTGGTGTTTGAACAGTTGGGGTGGTTTCTGTGTAGCTGTGTGTGAGTCTGTGTGTGCGTGTGTTACCATATGAAGTCGGTGCAATGACTGCAGAAGGTGGGCTGTTTGAAGAAGCGTGCTGTAAACTGGTGGTCTTTCACTTCGACAATCCTTTTGTGTTTGAGCGCTCCCTTCCTCTGAAACACGGGCACCCTGGGCGGAGGGGAGAGAGGCGAGGGCAGAGGGGAGGCACCGGGGGAGGTTGCAGATGTAGGGGAGGCCAGTGTCAGTGGGGAGAGCGAGGGGGACGGGGAGACTGGGGTAGACATGATGCCTGGAGGATGCGGTAAAAAGATGAAAAGGTAAGGGGGGTTGGATGATGAGTGTCAGTAACGAAGGCTTTGCTTTGAGCAGAAGACCTTGAATAGAACAGAGGAGAGGGCGGAGAGGAGGAAGCAAGGACAAGGAGGAGGAGCGGGAGGAGGACGATGGATGAAAAGTGTAATGGGTCAGAAGTTGTATTAATGGCACATGGGATGTAGGGTAGGGAGCGGTGAAAGAGTGACGTGATGAGGAGAAAGATCGAGAAGAGATGAATGGGCCGGAAGTGCAGCGTGAAAGAGGGAGCACAGGGAAAGTGGCAGGTAGAGATTGAAAGAGAAAGAAGAGATATAATGAAGGAGACAGGGAGGTTAATTCACATACTGAGACAGGAGTCTCTTAAGAGACGCTAAACGATTAGTGCAACTCGCTGTGTCCCACATACTGCCTGCCCATGCTACCCATACATATCCATGTCCCTCGCAGCTATGACTACCCCCCTTCCCTTCCTACCCCCTGGTCGTTATGTCAACTGTACTTCTGTTGCCATGTCAACAACACCCCCACCAGCTGCTCCAATATTAGAGCCTGGTTTCTCCTCATCTTCCTGCCTGCCTTTTTTAGCAATTAGTCCCATTTCTGAAGAAAAGTTTGGACCAGAATAATATGTACATGTCTATAGGGAATGAGATGCGCTGGAAAAAGTGCAAAACGGCAATATTAGCTGGAGAGATTGTGGTGCAAGAGTTGCACGCTACTAAATGATAAATGAAACACCAACAGAGATTTAATGAATAAATAAATAAGCCCACAGCGAAAACCCATACCATAAAAGAAATGTGATGAAATGTTTGTGTCTCAGCAAAGAAGCAGGAGCAAATCAATCAAAGGCGTGAAAGTGGACGGTAAGAAAAATGGCACAGGGCTCAGTAATGAGTAGAATAATGACAAGAAGAAATAAATGTTGTACAGACTCACACGGAAAAGATAATAAAGACTTAATACCTGAATTTAGGACAATTTTGGAGGAAACTTTTGAGCTGAAGATGTCTTTCTCCTCGTGTTCTCCTCCTCCTCTCTGTCGGGCTCACTTCAAATGAAAGGCTAAGGTGTCACACCTGTAGCTGGTCACCTCAGGAAAAAGAGAACAGGGGGAAGAAAAAGCAGTGGCTAGCAGGGGAAAAACAGCCCCAAAAAAAGAAAAAAATGAAAAGAAAAATGTAAAAATGAAAAATGGGTAAGCAACAAGCGTTTTGAGAGACTCAAGCTTTCTAGGAACCAAATATAGAGAAGTGAAGTGATATATATCCGTTAACCCAGAGGCAGGGTGAGGAGGAGGACGAGATAGAGAGGTGGTATTCTCTTTCCAAGATTGATTCTGTTTTTACTAGGAGGAGGACGAGAGAAAGAGAAAAGGAGAGAGAAAGAGAGAGGGCGAGAGAGAGAGGAAGAAAAAACAGAAATATGGAGAGAGAGAAAGAGAGAGAGAGGAGAAAGATTGAGGGGAATAGGCGGCGATTCATTTTGAAATCTGGGTTACTTCTCTCAGGAGAGGGTGAGGGGAGGTAGAGGAAGGAGGACGGATGAGATAGAACATGCCATTTTAGCACCACAAATACAGTATGGACAAGCAAGTGCCAACTGTCTCTCACTTCCTCTTGTGCCAGATGGAGAGAGAGGATTCAGTCTGAAAGAAAAACGCAGAGCTTCTGAGAAAAAGCTGAGCGTAGCTAAAAGTGGAAACAAACTCAAGTTTGCTGCCGATCCAGCTGACTGAAGGATCAACAGGCCTGCAAAACAAACAACCCTGTTAGTCCATGCTGCTACGGCTCAGTTTCGGGCTTTTCACATCAGCGTTCTGAGATCAGGAGTAGAGTGGTGATATAGTAACACTGCTCCGCTCTGCACTGAAACCAGGTCAGCTAAGCCTGATGGGAAGAGTAGTCTCCATGAGAGTGGGACTTTTTGTCTACCGCCTCTACAGTTTGTGGGCATTCAAAGGACAGGCAGATAGTGAGACACACATGGCCCATAAAAACACAAAGCCTTACAGTCCAAACTACAACAGCAGATGCAACCTATTGCTGCATACACAGCCAAGCAGTAGCTTCTTACCTTTTCTATAGGGACACATATTTATTGAGACCCAGTAAGAGTCCAAAGAACTAAACGCTTCCAGATTTGTAGTAGAAGCATCCATCCATTTTCTTCCACTTATCCAATTTAGGGTTGCGGTTGGGCTGGAACCTATCCCAGATGTCATAAGGAAAAAGGAGTGTTTGCCCTGTGCCAAACGGTAGACGCGCTAACACATAGAGACAGACAACCATTCACACTCACATTTAATCAAGATTTGAACCCAGGACTGCTGATCACTGCACCACACACGCTCCTGCCCCTCCAAGAGCTTCATATACAAATGAAAAATGTTTCTTGATAATGAATAAACAACCTAGGCCAGAGATCATTATGCATTGGCGGTGGCTGCTATGGGCCTGGTAGATCCCCTAATACCTTTGAGAGAGCTTTATAACCTCAAAAAGAAGGGGAACAAATTTATAGACAAATGACCAGAAGGGGTGATTTGTCTATACCACAGCCCAGAAGGGCCAGGCTGTGCTCCAGCACGTCAAATTCAGATAAATGGTCTCTACTTATAAAAGTAAGACTAGAATATAAGATATTTGCAAATGTGCCTTTTCACTTTCTTGCCAGATGAGAACAATGACATCTCATGTCCGTTTAGTAAATATGGAGCTGGAACAAACAGCTGGTTAGCTTTCCAAAAAGACATAAAACAGTGGGTAACCACCAGCCACGCTCAGACAGTGGGAGAAGGGCAGAGTAACCAGAGAGAACCCACACAAAGTCAGGGACCAAGACTAAGACCCAGACTGGAGATAAACCCAGGACCTTCTTACTGTGCTTAGACCAGGGGTGTCGAACCCCAGGCCTCGAGGGCTGGTGTCCTGCAGGTTTTAGATCTCACCCTGGGTCAACACACCTGAATCACATGATTAGTTCATTACCAGGCCTCTGGAGAACATCAAGACATGTTGAAGAGGTAATTTAGCTATTTAAATCAGCTGTGTTGGATCAAGGACACATCTAAAACCTCCAGGACACCGGCCCTTGAGGCCTGGAGTTCGACACCTGTGGCTTAGACAGTAACAAAAGCTACCGATCTGCACTACTGAGCTCTCAGCAAGTCTTTGTAAATAGCATTCATGCAGCAATCATAGTGTAAGAATGATGCCGCTGTTTTTGGAGACTACGTGCCATGGTTAGCAGTGCAATGCTCATAATGATCTTTGGATGTGCTGAGATGTCAGCAAGAGCCAGGCTATATTTAGAAGTCATTCATGAGAGATTGCGATGATCTTTACACCTTACTGTCACTCAAAAGTAAATAAACACATTTTCATAATTCATTAGTTTAACTTTAAAAACACAATCCCTTTTTCACCCTCAGTCACAGGTTGAAAGCTCATGAAGTGACAGCAAGAACAAACGTTTGTCATCACAATGCTACTAATGCAAGCGCACACAGACACAATTAATCACAGTCTATGTGTGCATGTATGTGTGCAGGCCATGTGTGGTCCACGGATGATCCTGGGAGAAGAGAGCAGCAGGCAGGATCAGAGGCAGAGGATGGAGGGGTGGATTGGAGTGGGACAGAGAGACTGAGAGAGGGAGCGAAGGGTTGAAGGTCTAATTAATGGAAATGTAGGTTATTAGTCTCCTGATGAGGACACTGGCAGAGAATTAATTAACAATTATAATTAGCAAGATTGTTAGAGAGCAAAATGGTGTCAGCCAGCAAGATAATAGTGAGCTAGCGTGCATAAGGTGTGCGTGCGTGTTAGAGTCAGTCATTTTTGGTGAAAAAAAATAACAGCTGTGTGAACATGCCCTATCTGACAATGATATATGTCATTTCAGCATTAGTCATGCAGAACCAGCAGCTGATTGGAAATGATAGGGAGGGGGCTTTCCTTTGCTTTTTCTCTATAGAACTGCCTTTGCTGTCTTCATTTTCTGGCCCATAAGACTCCCAGTCTTCATTGGTCTTATCTTGGATGAGTCATGTTCTTGTTCTGTTGTCACAACTAAATGAGAAAGATGTCCTTGCGCAGTGAGAGAAAGACACAGGGGCACAAAAATATAAGCAGCAGACCATGCACTCTTCAGTAATAAATGCATTGGAAAACAAAACATAAATGGCTCCCAATGCGTTCTCTCCATGCGGCATGATGAGTAAGCACTTATGGCTCTAAAAGTGTCTGTATCAGTGTGCTTTTGCATGCCCATTGAAGCATGTGTGCGTGTTTGATCCCAGGCCATAAAAGTGAGCTGGTGTGCAGCCAGCCAATGATGCATTAAGGCTGTAAACCAAAAAGACATATACACGTGGAAGTGTGAAAAACACACTGATTCGGCCTGCATGATTAACAGCAAAGGGAAATCCTATAGACACAGAAAGAACTGAAGCCAAAAGGAAATATATATCTGACAATGGAAAAAAAGGCTGAAGACACCACAAAAAACCTGTCTCAGTTATGACCAACCACTAGTCCCCACTCACTCTTTTTCTCTCACAGTCTACAGATGGCCATCTCATTATTTCTGACCATGGCTTAATGAAACAGAAAATTCTCCTCCGATAGAATCTTTTTGAGGGGGGAGTAATCAGCACTTTACCAATTACATGCATCCATTATCATCTAACGAGTGCTCAGTCGTATCAAGCACCGACTTCAACCTTGCTGGCTGGCTGGCTTTCTCCAATGAAATTAAGGTAAATTGACTTGCCTAACTGTTGTTTGTGGAATCAGGGGAGAAGTGGTGTCTGAGGTAATCATATCTGCCTGTTAAATTTGTCTCTTCAGAATCAAATTGGCTCTGTTTGCCAGTATTGGCTTCTATTTGCTTTTTTAATGAAGTGGGGTCCGCTGTGTTTTTCAAAGAGAGCAACAAACCTCCACGCCAGTCAGATGAGACATTTGGCAGGCGATTAGGGTCTGTCAACATGGCCTACAAAACTCTCAGTCCTGAAACAAATAAGCCTGCTCTCCATATTTGTTTTACTCCTGACCTGCCTCTCAGTGCAATGTGAAATGCTGCAAAGTGGAAAACCGCACGCCTAAACAGAGGCATTTGAGCATATCAAACATCTAAGCGTGTAAGAGGTGTCAGGTATTAATGTCTTTAATATTACATCACTTTGTGCAGTCGTTTACAAGTTATGATTTTCATTACAACTCTGCTGAACCGGTGTAGTTCCAGGAAGTCTGTCTCTGTCATAGCTTGATTAAAGATGGACTCAAGCTGTGGGATCCCATTTTGAAATATTGAATTTCAGGCATTCACCTTTCTTGGTGTTTTGAAACCAAATAAGCAAGTGTGGGGTGGATATGACCAAGGAGCTGAGAAGACTGCACACTCATAAAGCTTGCCTTGCCCTAAAGCAAATCCTTCTTTTTTATTTTCATCTAAATACAGCCATAACTTAGAAAATGAACCTCATGGTGTATTAAAAAAGACTTTAAACTAGCATCTGAAACCATAACTGTAACAGGAACGTGTTTACTGACCTATTAAATCAAGTGAGCTGTAGACTTCTATACAATTAGACTTTTTAGAAATCACAGGAGTTGCCATCTGCTAACACATGCTCTCTTCCATCTTATCACAAGCTGATGTGTGGTCAGGGAATGCTTCTAGTCATATTTTCACTTAGTGTCATTTCCCCTGTAGTTTACTTTTTACGTGTGAGGAAGAAAAAAAACCTACAGTCTATGCCCACGTTAGAAGGCCATGGGGGTGGTGGATGGCACAAGTGCACAACCTTAAACCAGAAGTTTGAGTCTTGTCTGACAGCTCCTTGGTCACCACGGTTACACTGAGGCGACACCACCAGAGCACTGTTAGTGGTCTCACTGGACCAATTTCAAATGCTGAGTATGTCCTACTGACTCTCAGACTACTACAACTGCATATACAAAAAATGATGCTCAAAGGAGTATCCAGACCACCTACAAGTTCTCAGCTAGGAAGCTAAAAAGAATGCAAGGTTGGCTTTTCCACACTGGCTTCATTTCTCAGATACAAAGAATCTATCCATCAATTTAAATACAACACTAATGTCTCGGGCGCACTAGAGTAAAAATGGGACAGGACCTCCTTATGACTGAGAAAAATGTCGTTGCCTGATGCTTGCACAGAATTTTTTGACATTCAGTGACTGTTTGCAAGTATTTGCAGCAGTTGCCCGGAGACTGAACGTGCAAGACCCTTAACTTCTGAGTGATTATTCTCAATTGCAAGGTCTGTGCAGAGGCTGCCTGATGGGATCCAACCTGTCTCTAAATATTTACAAAACTGACTGCAACCACCGCTTTGCAAAAAAAATTGACATCTAATTTATAATCATAGTTTATAAAAAAGTTAATAATCTCATTGCCATTTAATCTGTCCTGATGCACTAAAATCACTCTGAAGACATGAGTGGTGGCCGACCTGATCCACATCTTTGCAGAAGCCATTTTAAAGGTAACTAGATTTTTCTAGATTTTTTAATCTCCAACCAACCACTGTTTTTCCTTTGTATGCCTGTAGTGCAACAAACTGCTTTCCTATTTTGTTTTAGCACTTTCTAGCATGCTGCTTCAGCATAATGCTTTCCACTGATGTGTAACTGTGCATTACCATATGCAGAGGGAAACCATATGTAATGGCTCTTGCTTAACTTGAATGATTGTATAAATGCATATGATTTACAAATGTTTTAGAAACTTTTAGAAACACTCAGGCACTGAGCTTGACCCTGATGTCTGATTGTGTTAACTAATAGTTTTTTATTTACACATCCAACAGCAACAGAGGAACATGAGCATTCGCGTAAATGTAAGTTCACTTTTCTTGTAGCTGTTTTGTTGGGAATACTGAGCAGTACAGACATCTGTATGATGAACTTCTTTCATATACCTGTAGTTATGTATTATACCATTACTTTAAAATAAGGACTTTGTGAACTTTAAACTTTTTTCTACCTTGCCCATTTTTTAATTTTGATATATAAAACATTCATCAGACCTTGTCTCCACCGGGTATGTGCAAAAGAAAAAAAAAAAAACTAACAAGAACTCAAAGCCTCAGCTTTTGGGCTGCAAAATCTTCCTTACTGCTACAAGGAGGAAAAGAAGGTTGTGAACAAAATGCGCTCAAGGGGAAGGATGAAAGCAGGAGGGCAGGGGTTTCAGGGTAAGAGGGGCGATTGGATAATGAGGCATGTGGAGAACAAGGTAAAGTCTGAGGATATCTTAATCTTCATCCCAGTTTTCTAGGATGAATTCCCTTTGGGCAGGCGGCACTACACATACACACACACGCAGTGGCAAATAAGGATGTAATACGAATAATTATTGTGTCCTAGATGCGGTGTTAATGTTGTTGCACACATACTAGCTGCACAAGACAGCAAACTTGCATTGCTGTTGATGTGAACGCTCCCTCTTAAGGACTGTCAGCACTGAAACTCTGACTTTAGAGACGAATCAAGAAAATACAATTTAAATAGGGTGAACAGCGCCGGCGCTTAGATTAGAGCTGAAATGATTATTCTATTAATTGTTCAGTTCATTCATAGAAAATTACTTTTTTAAAACAAGATGATTCATTCAGTGTTTTTTTCAGCCTCATATTCTCTTAAGGCTACTCAAATGTACTACCCTGCTCTCCTCTGTTTTATCTTTATGTAAATATAATATCTATAACTTCAGGATAGTAGGCTGAACTAAAAAGAAGCTTTTAAGACATCACCTCCAGCAATCTGCCATTGTGATGGCCGTTTTTGGACTATTCTTAGAACAAGCACTTCATTGAGAAAAAAAAATAAACAAAAAACATCATCTTGGGGAATCTGTGTCA